ATTATGTGGAAAAAGAAAAATCAAGAGGCACGGTAGTGCCTCGCGCCAAGTATATGCGCAAACGAAGTGCGCGCGCGCTGCGCAAGGTACTCCGTGCCTCTTATACACGAGAATGGCCCGTTTATGCGTTTCGAGATTTTCAGATCTCAAGAATGGCTAAACTGATTGAGTTCGGCCTAGACTCAATAGAAAAGTAAGATCAAGGCACGAAAAAAAGTATCTCGCGGTTTTTTTCTTCCGTTTCTTCTCTACGAAGAAATCTCGGTGCAAAATCTGAAATCCCGAAAACCTATGTTCACTTTTTCGTCCACGTCTTGGGACATGGATTTTGTCAATAGAACGTGCTCTTCTTCTTGTCGCCGCCACGTGACAACACTTTTGTGCACATATGTATTGCGTTCAATTTGAGAAGAAAATTTTACTGCGCATAGGGAAAGAAAAGCGGGCAAAGTAGCGTAGAGAATAGCGTTGTATGCGGGATTATTGTTTGTGGAACACTTGACAGCCAAGGCTGTAAAACGATTTTTTTAATAAGGGAAGTGCGTGAAATTTTTGCTCATCCGGTTTCTCTTCTCAAATTGAACGCAGTACAGATGTGTATCAAGAAGCACGGTAGTGCCTCGCGTTAAGTATGTGCGCAAAGTGTGTGATTTTATTATAATATCTATAACATTAATATCCATTTACATTAATAAGCACAAACAATATATGTACTTTCACGTAGGTAGAGAGTAATGGAATTTAGTATACAATATAATCTCAATGAAAAATTGTTAGAAATCTAATGATATATATTACATGTATCCGTTCGTTAACTCGTTCGTACGCTGCAATATCGGTTGTGCAAAATTCTATCGTTCTGTAAGTAGTATGTCTGATGATATGCGTATCATTTCTATAGCATGAAGCACAGTAAACTATCTCGAATATAACGTTTATTTACATTTCAGAATATAGATTTCAACTAATTGTAAGTAAAATTAAAAAACTTTAAATGTAGTTCATCAACTCGTTCCACTACAAGTTCCAATTTACATGCGAAATACAGAAGGACAATTCTCTCAATTATCTAAATATCACAATCATAATAGAAAATAGTAAATTCTTTGCGATTGGTACCGCAAACCAACTTATTCAGGTAGATATTTACATTATTACTCACAGAACCTTATCAGTCATAAAAAAGGCACTATTTATTCCTTGGTTGATAGAGCTATATTTTTATCAGAACCTCAATTTTACAACAAAACCTTACGATTCATAATCAACATTTTAATTAACAACAATTATTCGATACATTTAATTTTCAACACAATAAAAGATAGATTGAGAGTATTGTTTTTAACCAAATTAAACAAACATAATGTAGATAACACATGGAAGGATAACAATGTAGAACACCTCTATTTCGTATTTCTATACATTCAACAGAGTAACAACAGCTACGACCACATTAAAATCAACAACAAAATAATAAAACCTACTTACCGCAATTTAAACCAACTATCTAAATTTATTAAAATCCATAAAGATTTTGTTCTTTTAAACAAACAAAAAAATGTCGTCTATCGGATTGAATGTTTACATTGCGAGTCTTCCTATGTGGGACAAACTAAACGACAATTGTCAACTCGAATTAAAGAACATTCCAATTATGTTAATAAAAGACTAATAGATTCTTCGGTTATAGTGAAACACAGCTTTGAGACAGGTCATAGTTTTAATTGGAATTCAGTTAAAATCTTGGATACTGAGAGAAATTATTTTAAACGTCAGACTTCCCAAATGTTATTTATCAAAAAAATAGCAGCATGGATTGAATTTGATGAGAGACACCGAATCTTTACATACATACCTATTCTAGATAAAATATAATATTAATGGTAGGGGGAGATGTGTCTCGCGTCGAATCCAAGCTATTCTTAATATTAATTATACAATTTGCTCGCAATATTAACAATAAGTATAGAAAAATAATATAACAAGGTCTGTTTTCGAGCTTTAATGGATCTTAAAGATTTATTTATAAACAAAACGCAAATAAAATTTAAAATTACAAATGACAAACGTTTCGGCCCTTACTTGAGCCCTCTTCAGCGTACAAAGGTAAATATAAATATAAGTATTCTGAAGAGGGCTCACAAGTAAAGGCCGAAACGTTTGTCATTTGTAATTCTAAATTTTATTTGCGTTTTGTTTATAAATAAATCTTTAAGATCCATTAAAGCTCNAAAACAGACCTTGTTATATTATTTTTCTATACTTATTGTTAATATTGCGAGCGAATTGTATAATTAATATATATTTTACGTTTTAATACGCTGGTCGAATAATGCGTACATATCGTTCTATACACCATTATAATTTTGATCTCCAAACATTACGTTCTATGTTTGGTGATAATATTACACGTCTTCTCAAGGACTGGATAGATCTGAATTTCAGGAAGTCAAACATTATACAACCTACCATGGACTTCTAATGTAAGATCTATCATCTTTTCTTTTCAATTTCCATCTTCTTGCGAACTTTTGTGATATGACGTGATTACTTCTATTTATATTTATATTTACCTTTGTACACTGAAGAGGGCTCAAGTAAGGGCCGAAACGTTTGTCATTTGTAATTCTAAATTTTATTTGCGTTTTGTTTATAAATAAATCTTTAAGATCCATTAAAGCTCNAAAACAGACCTTGTTATATTATTTTTCTATACCTATTCTTAATAGACTCAGTATCTAACTTGCGTTCATATAGGCATAACATACTAAGATACTCGATTGTTAGATCAATAATGATAGTGATGAGTGATATGATCTTAATTTCATTATATTTTAACTTATAACACAAGTATTATAATTGTGACAACTTAGAGCGTAAATAATTTGTAATGTAGGGGAGAGGGGGGTCAATTGTAACACGGGGCACTTGTAACAGTTAATAAAAAAATACCATAAAGTTTAAAACAAATTTTTTTTATTTATGTTTCCCTATTTGAGTTCTTAAGTTGACGATAATTCTGAATTTTTATGTTAACTTAAATTTATTATAATAAAGTTATTCACTTTTCTTGGCATAAAACCGTTTTTCCCGCACTGCAGGAAATTATCAATAACATTTTATATTGTGCACATAATAATAAAAAACTTTTTCTTATACTTTGATACATTTGTTATAAACGATATTCAGCGCTTTTTAATGTAAGTTATTTTGCAAGTTGTATTCAATATATATATTTACAAAAAATGATCAGTAGGGGTCAATTGTAACAGCGCTCTCAGGGTCAATTGTAACATTTGTATTGCGTTCGACGCAGTAGTCTGCGCGTGCGATGTGTAACCTAACCTATTCACTCTAAAAATCCTGTGATGTGATAAAACATGTGCAATGATCAACATTAAAATTCTATATTATTAAGTGTATTAAGTGAGTTATATGTAATAATCAGATAGCTGTGGTAAGTAAAAAACTGTAGGATTAATATTTGCTTAATATGTTATATAACTTATTTATATAAATCATGTTTTTATAGACATCAATGAAAGATACCTCGAATAAGATAAAAAAAAAGTAATCGAGGTAAAATTTCCTCTGCAACATATGAAGCAGCGTGCAAACAAATTGTAGAAAAATAAATAAAAGAAAAAAACAAAAGAAAACGACCAAAGACTTTAGATTTAGATTGTTCAAAGAAGAGTAAATTGATAAAACAAAATAAAAAAAATAAAAAAAAGAAAAATACAAATTAATATTCTATTTATTAAAAATAAATATATGTATTTGTTATGATAACTGTAATACATATTATTATGTATTTATAATAGTTATAAACTATATAACTGTTGTTGAGAATATAAACCATATATATTTGAAAAGATTTGACGCTCGTGAAATAGGCAACAGAAATATGTAAGGCCGATACGAGCATTCGCAGGATGTTTGTGCGGGAACTAAGCGTGTACATATATATATATATATATATACATGTAACGAATTATACTTGCAAATTTTTACAAGTATTTTTTGAATTGAAATATCAATTCTTAAAATCATACGGGATGCTAGATTTGCATCTCACATATGAAAAACCCCGGATACTCCCCTAACTAATTTTTAAAATATTGCGAAAAAAACTTGTAAAAATTTGCAAGTATAATTCGTTACATGTATATATATATATATATGTACACGCTTAGTTCCCGCACAAACATCCTGCGAATGCTCGTATCGGCCTTACATATTTCTGTCATATATATTTGTTTTAGATATTCATAAAATAAATGTATGTTTTTTATGTAAAATGTATCTACAACTTTGTTATAATTGACCCCTATTACTGTTACAATTTTCCCCATCGCTGGGGTCAATTGTAACACTTGACTAATCAGCATAATAATGATATATATTTTAATTACTACACTTTAGTTTATGATTATTTTAACTAGTAAAAATCTTAAAGTACATGTTAAAGTTTTATCTCACTCAATTTCACAATTATAATTTACAAAACTAAAAAGATATTAATGGCCAAAAATTTTTTGTTACAATTAATCCTTCCCTCCCCTACCATGGTATGTAATTATATTATTTCAAATGCGTTAATCCATAATCTTTCAAAATTAACACTTGTATTAACATTGTCAACAAAAACAATTGATAAGGACTAAAATTATAGTCAAAACGTCTTGACACAACTTAAATTACATTTATTCCTTCACAACATCCTGCACGGGCTCTACATAGCGTTTATTTCAAATTTAACATTGGTAGTTCATCAATTTTTAACGATGTCTAAGAAATCGATACTGACATTGATACTGAAATTAATATTGATTAACTGCATTGGACTACATAACTTGTCACTTTTCTTGAGAAAATCCTAACACTAACTTTAACACATCAGAATCTAACTTATTAGCAAGATTATAATTTTTTATAGAAACAAAACATTGAAACAAACACAATTCGATACAAATTAAAATTCGTTAATTATGTCGCAGGTATATTACCAAATATTTTGTGCTGCACGCAATATCGTGATGGAGGAGATAAGAGCGCAACTCCATCTGCATGGACATTGTCGTTTTAACGTGGAGCCATCAATTTCACAGCCGACCGCATCCATTTTGAACCGTCAAGCTAGTCCGATCAAACATAGAAGCTCCAGCGCATCCACAACAGTGAGTATTTTCTTTTTTTTTTTTTTATTATTAGCTACTGTATAACACAAAATTGATACATAACAAAACGTTCACAAGATAATTCTTAAATGTTTTAAATATCTTGTGTTTTTGTTTTATTCTTTAACGATGCTAAGATACCACCAAAAATATTTCCTACTCTACTTTATTTTACGCTTTGTTTACAAGTAGGTCAATGTAAGCAAACTAATTTTTATGTACTCTGCAAATAATTTTTGAATGCGCAAACTTGACAAACAGAGAATGTTTGCTGAGAGACCGTAATAGAAAAACATGTTTTGGTCCTGCCAAAACTGTTAACGCACAAAGACACGATAAATTTTGTTGGTATACAATACATAAAAGTATTGCAGTTGATAGCAAGTATATACATACATGTCGATAAAATTGACGACAAATAGATAATTGGTAAAAATCGACTATATTTTTTCTACTGTACCGTAAATAAACGATTACCGTAATAAACAATTTGCAGAATCACATCTATTATATTTGGCACTAACAAACGATAACCAGATTATTTTGGATTTTTTGATACGTCATTTTTGCTTGCAAGTGGCAGACCTGTTATGATTTTATTTCTCTTTGAGATATCTGCATATACTGACAAGATATAACTCAAAAAGTACTTAATGAAATAATGTTTTATTATAGTGTTTTGGAAAGCTCTCGAGATAAGCTATAAAAATATGCAATAACATGTAGGGAGTTCTATTTACAAAAATAAGTTTGACCTTGAAATGACCTTAAAGGACATAATCAAGATCAAAGTCAAGATCATCATCTTACTCCTCGCTTGAAACCATACAACTTTGCTATTAGACATTTTCTCCAAAATGCATTCTAACTAAAAATATTCGGGGAGTTCGTTACTTTTCGATGACTTTGTATATTGGTACAAGGTCGCGGTAGCAGTTCTGTCCCGTCGCCGATCTCCGCGATTCGCACACACGACCGCGGGAATGAGAAGACGTGAGTTATCTTAACAACACTTTATTAAACTACGAATTATTACAGAAATTGCAGGATCGTCTGTAACGCGTTGTGACAGCTTCGCGTCCGCGATACGTCTCTCCACAACAACAACTCTGTCGCCCGGCAACGAACAATCGCGCTGAGCGCACGCCGTTCACGCGGCTCACGCACTCGGTGTCCGCTGCCCCTCCTCTTCAAGAATTGTCGTCCCGACAATTAGTGCGCTGGCTTCCGTCAACTCCAGGATCAAGCTTCAAACTTCAATCCAATTGACACCAGCATTTGACGTTTCCAGAGTCCCGACGAATTTTCTTGTTCTTCTCTAAACTCCTATCTAGAGTAAGCAAACACAACGTCGAACTCACACGTCTCTTTCTCCTTTCTTCTTAATTCTCTTCAGACAAGGGAGAGGGAAGAAAAGTTCCCGTAGGCCCAACGTCCCTAAGGACTCCCCAGGTCCCCGCATCGGCATTTGCCCTTTGTCCCCCGGGAAAAACACGGATCAAAAACCGGAGGCTAGGCGGTCTTCCCTAATATAATAAAGCTAAACGTGATGATTTTCTTTCCTCTTAATTTTCAAACGGCGCGGAGTGACACGACGTCGCCACCTTCCGACGTCCTCGATAAAGCAGGAAAAAGGAAGGGAAAGGAAGGAATAGACCCTGAAAAGAAAAACAAACAAAACTTTTTCTTTTAAATTAATTCTAAATATTTTTTTATTTTAATTCAACGATTTCCCTTTTTTTTCTTAATTTTCCGGGTGTAGCCCCGACGCGTGCTCCCATCTCTCACAAAACGAGGTTAATCTAATCGCGTGCACTACTTCAGTTTTGTGTCTCGGCGAACGACGGATACAATAAACAACATCACTTAATTTCCTCGTGACTTCAAAAGAACCCTCCCAACTTCTTTGTAATTTTGGGGCTTTCCCTATACTTTGACGCGGATTGAAAAACCACACCTTCTGACCTACCTCAAAAAGAGTATGCCTAGTCTTTCGATCGTATCGCATTTTCACCCTATCAAACCTTAACTCCAAACGTTCTCTAACCTCCTGGTGAACCTCATCAAGTTTTTCACGCAGTTTCTAGGCATAACTTTCCGATATTTCTAAATAACCATTCGGGGGCGTTCCTCGAAGCAAATCCAAAGAAAGACAAAGCTCTCGTCCGAAACATAATTCCGCAGGAGTCGCTCCCGTTGTCTCATGCCTGGAAGATAAGCTAAAAGAAACATGGGAATCCAACGATCTCAATCTCTCTGACTTTCCTCTACAAATTTAGACAAATACTGAGTAATCGTTCGATGCTGTCTTTCCACCTGTCCATCAGACTGCGGATGGAGAGCAGTTGTCCTTGTTTTCTTAATGCCTAAAATCCACGCCAGCTCTAAAAAAAGACGAGATTCAAAATTCTTCCTCTGATCTGTGTGTAATTCCAGCGGAACTCCGTATTTCGAAATTATCTAATTTACAAATACTTCCGCTACAGTCGCTGGCCGAAAATTCTTTAGAAGAAACACCTCTACCCACTTGGTGAAACAATTCATTATCACTAAAAGATACTTGTTTCCCGCAGACGACGTCGGAAAAGGTCCAAGAATATCCATTTGCAACCTCTCGAAAGAAGCTCTTGAGTTGTAAACTTGCAACGACCTTCTCTTGTCCGAAGGACTTCTTTTGGCCACACACACTTTACAAGACTTACACCAGTTCTCTACATCCTTCTTGCAAGTTGCCCAATAGAATCGTTTTCGTATCTTCTCCAACGTCTTGTTGATACCAAAATGTCCCCCCGTAAGAGCATCATGCGCCACCTCTAAGATCTGTTTGCACAGCTTCCGAGGAACGATCACCTGAAGGAAACTGGTTTTCAAATTTGGCGCCTCCCACCTTTTATGAAGAATACCATCTTGAACAACTAAGGCATCCCAATAAGACCAGTAGACCCTTGAAGAAGGACCCCTTGCCGAGACTTCCTTCCACAAAGGACAATTACCTGCCTTTTTCCCCCGTAAAATTAAAGAAATTTCCAGATCCCCTAGCTGCTCCCTACGCCACTCCACCATTCCATTCCCTGCAAGAACTATCCGCGCTATACACTTTTCTTTTTCCACTGCCTCTCTTTCTTCCACTCTTAAGCAGTATTTGCACCTAGACTCTATACAAGGCCGCCTAGACAGACCGTTCGCATTTTTGTGTAACTTCCCGCTACGATGCTAAATGTCCAAATTATATTGTTGAAGCCTCTCCGCCCACCGGTCCAACTGCCCTTCCAAATCTTTAAAAGACATCAGCCACCTCAACGAAGCGTGATCGGTTCGAACCAAAAACTCTCGCCCGTAGAGATAGTGGTGGAAAGACTTCACCGAGTCAACAACCGCTAAGAGTTCCTTCCCAGTTACACAATAATTTCTCTCAGTCCTATTAAGAACTCGGCTATAATACGCCAAGACCTTCTCGGTTCCCTGTTGTACTTGTGAAAGAACCGCACCAATCCCATGTCCAGATGCATCAGTGTCCAAAATTAACTGCCCGCTCTCCGACGGAAACGAAAGCACCGGAAGAGAAGCTAACATTTGCTTCAGACGCAAGAACGCTTCCTGACATCGGTCAGACCAAACAAATTTTGTATTATCTTCCGTTAAAGTATACAACGGCTTTGCTATCAAAGAAAACCCTCTCACAAATTTCCGATAATAGGAGCAGAACCTCAAAAAACTGCAAACCTGCTTTTTATTCCGTGGAACTGGCCACTCCGAAACCGCCTTAGTCCTTTCCGGGTCCGTCAAAACTCCTTCGGCCGAAACCACATGCTCTAAGTACTTAACTTGCCTCCCAAAAAGAGTACACTTCTTTGGATTCAACTTTAAATTTGCCTCCCTGAATTTCTGAAATACTTTTCTAAAATTGACTACCATCTCCTCAAAAGATTTTCCAAAAACAATAACGTCATCTAAATAAACTAAACAAATCTTGGACAGCAACTGCCGCAAAACCCTCTCCATCAAACGCTCAAAAGTGGCTGGGGCGTTATATAATCCAAAAGGCATCACGGTAAATTGCCACAACCCGTTCCCTACCGAAAAGGCAGTTTTTTCTCAATCCTCTTTGCGAATTTTAATCTGCCAATAACCATTCCTCATATCTAAGGTGGAAAACCACGTATTGCCCGATAGTTGGTCCAGAAGATCATCAACCCTAGGTAGAGGATAAGAAATTTTTACCGTAACCGCGTTTAATTTTTGGTAGTTTACGCAGAACCTCAAAGACCCATCTTTCTTCTTTACCATAACTGCCGGGGAAACCCAAGGACCAAAAGATTCCTCAATGACCCCCTGCTCTCTCATTTCTCGAAGAATCTGTTCCACCTTTGACCGCATGCCTAGCGGCACTCTCCTCGGAGTCTGTTTAATAGGATGAGGATCCTGTAGACTTATCTCATGTTGCAGAACCTCACAATTACCGGCCACGATCTGTTCGGTAAAGATGTCCTGGAATTCGTTTAAGAAACCAGCGAAAACACTCTTCTGCGCCTCATTAAGGCCAACGGAGTCCCGCTCAAAGAGCTCTCTCAAGCCCGACGGAATATCCCCGACCTCCTTGGTCACCTGACAACAAACCTTCTTTGACTCATGTGAAGAAAAACGGAAACCAAGTAATATTTTCCGAGTCCTCTCCTCTCCCACTTTTCTGAAGAAGTCCACTCATAAAATACAATCGTCAAACATATCTGCTACATAGAAAGACATGCTAAGAGAAATCCCTTCTAACACTATTCGAGCCTCACATTTAGAATTAATCGGAACATCCTCCCCCGTCGGGTATCTTAACCTTTGTCTTCCCGACAACCTCTGACACCGAGATCCCTCAATTAACTTCGATTTTACAATAGACACGTCGGAGCCCGTATCAAGTTTAAAACGGCAAATTCTGCCATTTAACTTTCCGCTTAAAACAAACAAATCTTTCCTTCTCCCGAACTTTTGAACAAAACGTTTCATTT